GTCAAAACTTGTAGTGAGGATTTGGAATTGGTGATGATTGTGCTTGAAAAAGAAGTGAATTTAAGGGGTGTGACTTTATTCATCTTTCCTTTCTATTTTTAATGTTTTTTCTTTCAGTAGTCACTCCATATTACAAATAACATCAAAAAAACATGCGAATGTAGGAGCATAATTTTCAGAGTAATTATTATAGTTCTTTTTTTTTCCATATATATATACATTTGCATACTCACTAAACACTTCCTTTTGACATTTTCTATAATTATGATTGTTGGATATTTTGTCATGTTAGGACTTCAACCTCATATCAAGTAATTTCAATATAATTTTAGAAATCATGTCAGATGTAAGTACATGTACTCTTCGAGTCAGCCAATATATTGATAAGATTAAATACATTTTAAACTGCAATTTTTTTATGCCAATAAAAAAACAATCAATATTTCACAGTTATAGATTAAACACGGGTCGGCTGTGCGTGCACAGTCCAGAGTTCACTAGTTTTATATAGACATGTTCTACGTAATTTTGTACATTTTAAATTTCATATAATATTTTAAATAAATTAATATAGATAAATTGTATCAGATATTGATTCTATTTAATTTATAAATATTATTTAATGAGTATTTTTAATTTATAAATATTGATGAATATTTATTAATAGTGAGATTCGTGCTAGTTTATTATTAAACCATTTTGCACCCGTGAACGAAAAATTATACCAAATTTTTATATCCATTCCATACTGAATATATATAGACCAAGCCAAGGAGTCAAGAAGACGACACCTTTTCTTTTTTATTTTCCAAGTTTTTTAAAATGGATCCACCTCGAGCGGCGTCAGTATCTGGTGGCATTTTCCTTTGGAAATTAAGGTACGTGTTTTTTCCGTATTCTTAACTCGATTGATTCCTCTCAATGAGAAAAATTGTATGCAAATTCTTCAGTTTCGTGAGTTTTCGCAGTCAAATTTGGTTGATATGTTTAGTTTCTGAATCATAGCTTGGGTATATTTCTATGTTAGCCAATTTCATCACAAAAAAAAAATTAAAAATCTATTGCACTTTCCGACTTTCTTCCCAGTCCTCAATGGTTAACTGTCGTTTTGCTAAGTTGCCCAATGTCCATTGAATTCTAGCTGATTTGAGCAAATTATTGGTATTAAATATATTTGTTTACTATATTTACGTCTTCCACAAATTATTGTAAGGGGGCCTAATTGTTAGTCGGATCCACTGGTCATTAATAAAAGTGCATACTTTTGTTATGCAATGCCATACTTTTGTGTATGTGTATGTTGATTTGTAGAGTATGACATTTTAGTTCGAAAGTATTCATATTTGCTGAAAAAAATATAGTTTAACTATTGGGCCTGCCTAGCTGCTGCCTTACTGCCTACAGCGTTGTTAAGACTTTCCATCAACATCGTTGCTAAAGGCTTTCTCTTTAGTAGTTGAGACTTGAGGGACCCTAAGGTAAGGGGTGTGTAAACAAATTGGGTGTTTTGGTAAAAAGCTTGTGATAGAATTTGTTTAGTGCTTATACGAACATTCAATGGATAAATGTTGGAGCTTATTAATCTTCCGGAGTTTTAAAAACTGTGTATAAGAGCTTGTGAGCAGCTCGATTGTGAACTTTCTGGAACAGCATAATCGCTTCACTATAGCTCAATTAAAAGAAATGTAATAGGTTAGGTTTATTATAAATCTATTGTAATCTATGTTCAATTTTCTTATCAATTT